AGAACTTATTTCCGAATAAGTTTAAGTGTTTTTACAGTAAAGCATAGCTCCGCAGTATACATAAATTACATTTTTTGTACTGCTCATTAAAAGTACCTCTATTTTGTGATCAACAAACTCCAATCTGTTGTTTTGTTGCTAAGATTTAATTGCAGTGGCCTTGCAATTCTCCAACTTCTTTATTTAGAGTTTTAATAATGATCAGTATTGCAATTAAGTCAAATCTTTCTGGCTTTTTGATTCGAAGAATACCATCGTATATGATATTTTAGATAATTGACGCAAGAACAGAATTGTAGATGAGCTAAACCGTTAATTTCCACGTATTAGAGCCGGTTTCCGCATTGCGATGAAGTAATCTTTTTATAAATAGCTTTTGGATTGAACTGCTAGTCTCGTAGATGTCCATTTAAGAGCGCTTATACTGTATATTATCTTTAGTTTTTAACTTGTTGTTCTATGTTTTTATTTATTTTACTTAATGAATTTTTTTACATGCTTTTAGGACGTTCGTTTTTGGTACTCCAAAAGGGTGATTACAACAGACAATATTAAAGAGTTTATTTATATATGGACAACTCTCTACCTATTATAGACAACATTACGAATATATGGAATAATCTGATGTCGCCGGTTATAAACTCTATTACTTGCAAAATTTTCCGTCATAGCACCAAGGAAGTGAATCTATCTATAATATTTCTTCAATAATTATGTGTATAGTTTCAGTGCTTGCTTTATTTCAATCGAATTATTTTTTACCATCATATCTGACATTAAGATTTTTATAACATTTTTAAAAACCATTTTTAAACTACAATATGGAAATAGAATCATATATATATGATATAAGTACATAAGTTGTACACAAGTAAGTATTATAGACAAATATATTTTAGCAAAATACTTGGTTCTTACTAATGTAATTTTCACTAATTATTTTCATTGTCTTAAAATGGTTTAAAAATTGTCACGTATCTAGATGTTCTTTATTGCTGTAATGTTTGTATGTATAAATATTATATAGTTATTAAGTATAAGATTTATGAATTGCTTTCTTTATCTTTGTTACAGAAAATTTAAATTTAAATTCCATCTTTTTGTTTCATATATATTTTAATATTCGATACCAAGCTTTTTCAGAACATATCAAGAACTGTAAAGAATAAAAAAGTAATTGTTAATAAACATTGAATAAGAGATATAATTTTTTTAAATTTTTTTCTATTTCTATACCCGTTAATCTATTTTTAATAATCAAAAGAGTACTACTAAACTTTGAGAATCCTAAGTATGCCTCTGGTTGAAAACAATGGACTTGTAAGACATACCATATCTTTCAATAAGAGAAGTTCATTCAAATGCGAAATGTATTTTATCTGATACTCAATACATAAATAGATGATGACGTTCATCTCTTTATAATAATCTTTATATTTATATTAATCTTTGTAATTTTTAAATATAATCTTCGAATAATGAAAAGCGATGATATGGTATGTTATAATTAGGTAGAATCAACATTAAAGCTGAAAACGAGTAGGAAACCTGGAAAACGAGTAGGTAGCTAATTGTTAAAAATAAATCTGACTACGGAATATGATTGTTTCCAGTAATGTTACCATTCTCTTAATGAGCTACTTGATCCTGATGAAAAGGTAGTGAATAAGATTTAACTGGAATTGAAATTTACAAAGTGTTCAAAGTAAAAGAAAGTTATTGAGGATGAAGTATATGGGGATTTTTTCTCGCTTCAAGAGCAAAAAAGGTGTGATGTGCTATAGATTTGGGAAAATTAACATCAAAATTTTGGAAATGAAAAGAGATCAGCTAGAGAAGAGAAAAAATTTATACCGCGAATTCACATATTTGAGCAGTTTCATATATTGCTTCTCTCACAGAATCCATTTTCCTTTTACTCACTTCCTACACATTCCATTTTCTAACCCATGTATACGTATTTTGAATTTGTTCCATGTCTTCCGATATGTAGTTATACTCGTTTCACAACAACAACATCAATTGGCGATAGGTTAGGTTAGGTTCGGAAGGTGCTTCCACTCTGAGGTATATATTGCTCATTGTGATGCCCTTGAAAAATTTTGCCGGAAGAAGCGAGTTGCTATCCTTGTTAAACCATTTGGTTTTCCAGATGAAGTTAAGGAGATCCAATAAGTTTGCTTTTGGTATATTCTTTGAAGCCAGTGAAAAAGCGATCCTCAAGATATTGAAGTCACCTTGTCTGTAGTCCTGGACAGAGACACAGGAAGTGGTTAATAGATTCTACTTTCTCTTCATCTTGGCAACTTCTGCATAATCCACTTGTAGGAACTCGCCATCGTTGGAGCATAAGGGCGCAATAGCACAGTGCCCCGTCAGTACTCCAGTAAGCACACGAACTGCAGGTTTGCTTCAATTGGCGATAGTATGCAGATATTTAGGTTGATTGGCGGGTGTTACTTAACTTAACTAAATCGGTATGTAAGTATCTTAACTGCATTATCTGCCAATCTATAAATAGATGGTAATATTTCTAAGTTACTATTTAAATTTTTAATAGACTTAAAAAATTGAATGCATTAAGGACCCACTTAAAGTATACAACAAACTCTATTGTTAGCTTTCTAAGTACATTGTATGTATAAAACGTTTAAATTTCAGTTTTTTGTGTAATAATAATGCATTTTCAATTCGCCACGGTTAATGCTTTTGTATATTAGAATAAATATTTCAGTAAGCATTTTTGGCTATAAGTTCTTGGTCCTTTCGGTTTTTTGGGGAGCAAATATTAGCATTTCCATGCACGTTTGTAAATTGTTTACGTGCATATTCAAATGCAGTTGGAATATCCTTCGGTTGCCGTTGTGAAAGTGTGAAATGTTTCCATTTGTAAATGGCTTCCCAAGCATATTCCTTTCTCTCGCAGTCGAAGATATATGATTTTTCCTTTGGTTTACAAATGTGCATGCATGTTAAAATGGCTACCAGCCCGGAGCGATAAGCAAAATGCCATTTTATGTTAATTTTCCACACAAATTTGCATATAAAAATTCACTATTAAAAAATGGATGTTTCCATGAAAAAGTTTTCACAATTTTCCTGAATTATTTTTTGTACACTATTTTGAATTATTTGAATGCGGATATAATATCCACAAATATTATAGGACTATTAAGGGATTAAAAAAATGCTAGTATTTAAAATTTGAAATAAATTTTCAGTTTATATTTACATTTATTTTTTAATTAAATTTATTAAAAGCTTGTTAATCGATGGAGAGGAGAAATTTAAATACTTTCTTACTGATAAACACGGATATTATATACTTCATCAATCTTAATTTAGTGTCCAGACTTTCAGTTATTGATTGAGTTCAAAAAACTGGAGTTGCAATACTAGAGCTATATCACCATCATCTATAAAGATATGTAACTGTCTTTATAATATTTAGCTGTTAAATATTTAACTGTCTTTAGTTCAGGTATTAAGTGCTGGTAGTTCATGGTCTCATAAATAAGATATTACTTATTTGTAAATACAACGTCCAGACAAACCCAAACAGTATTACCATCCTTAACATCAATAACAATCCTTTATTCAATTTTACCTGTCTGGATTTACATAAGGTTTCAGTCAAAGTAGCTTTCAAAAAAATATAACAGGATTAGTAATATTCTACGGAGACCTACAGAAGGTATTACTTATAAACCCTAAATTTTGCTTATAACCCCAAGTCATGGACAAAATTCAACATGTAAGATACAAATTGAACCAGAACTGCGAATTCAAGGAAAGAACTGAAGTAAAGTTAAGTGGTTCCCATCAGATAGAGTTTAATAGGGATTATTTGCTTCAACATTATATTTGTTGAGGAAATTTAAAGGATTGTATATACCAAGGAAAAATTCGAATGCAATCATATCAAATATTATAATAGCCAAATGGAACAATAGGAGCTCGATTGATATCTTTTATAATACTCAATAGTAAATTTATAAATGATATTCCGTTTTTCGACTTCTTTGACCAAGCCTAAAGAGTTTATTCACATCAGCATTTGAAGCTAGGCTAGTATAAGAATGTAAGTTCTAAGCATAATACATAAAGATACATTTAGCTGATAATTACTATAAACACTGGATGCATTTAGCGCGTGTTTGCAACATGTTGCAACTATGAAGAGCACTAGTTGCTGAGAGCACAATACAGTAATTAAGCAGAAATAGTATTCTAAAGGATTGCTTCTTTATGTAGTGAATAACTAGAAAGATAGTCCCAGTTATCATCTTTTAATAAAACAAGAGACAAAATTGGATAGTTAACTTATAAAAATCAGAAGAAATAATACGATCTCTTAAGTTTCAGTCAATTCAATTTTCAATACCAAACCCAAACCTTTCCTCTTGTAAACGCCACTGTCTTGCTTCTTTGAGTACTGAAGGAAAGCAAGATCGAATAAAAATAACAAAACTATTTAACTATTGTAGTCTTCCTCTCCTCGTGGAACATAGGGCCTCAACTATTTATCTAATATTTATCTAACACTTTTATATAAAATTTATCATTAAAAATTTCTATGCTGGGAAGTAAATCTGGAAGTCCATATTATTACCATTGAAATTTGTGCTCAATCCTTTATATATAAAAAAGGAAATACTTAAGCTTTCTAATAATAAAAGCTTTACAATGTATATATAAAAACAACATAAAAGGGAATACGAGTATAAATAAGAAATTATTTAATTATAGATATTTATGTGCAATATGAGGGAACACCGAAGACAAAACCTAACTGCCAATATTGACTTTGAAATTACTTAGGAAGAAATATAAAACTACTTTATAAGTTTCTATAAAACACCTCCACTCAAACTTTACTAACTAAACTTATAGTAAATAACATAATTATATTTTATCAACAATTTTACTTTAGGTATTTAATTTACTTAATTAAAAACAAATTATTTGTTTGATTTATTCGTCAAGTTAGTTAGGATACGCAATAAAACCTCTGAGCTGATAAGGAAATGAATCAGATTATGAAAGGATTTCATATTGAATATACAGAGGAAAATATACAGAGGAAAGATGAAACCTCCAGTTAAAACCAAGCATTCTAAAAATACAGAGTTTAGTCTCACAAATATTTTGAAAACAAAACTGAAGAATAGTTTTAAGCTATTAGTGACTAATACGAAAGGGTTTTGTGATAATACATCTATGCATGGTGTTAAATACTTAGGGAGTAAGGATTTGTACACTTTCGAAAAGTAAGTTGGAATATTATTGAATAAACTATTTAATATCTTTAGTTTATCTTTTATTTAGATCGTATTTCCTTTTGGCTATTATATCTGTTATATTATTTATTGGATTTTTCGCACTGAAAGCCTTTGATAAATGGAATATTACACCTGTCATAGCTTCAATCAATCCAAAGCAATATATTATAACTGATGAGCCATTCCCAGCGGTTACAATATGCAATTTAAACCAAGTAGACAAAGATAAAGTGGAACACTTTAAGAAGTAAGTTAAAGTGAAACACGCTTGTATTTGTTACAGTACTATTGTCCTATTGTAGTATAAATTTATTTATAATACCCATATTAAAAATTATGTTGTAACTGCTTTTAATCATTTAACTTAATTAGAAATTCCACAGAATATGCTATGACCCAAATGCTATGTAGACGTCCATTAAAGCAATTCTTGAATTCATCCATCGGTGATTTTAACAACATGAGAGATTTTATTTGGAATGTAAGTAGTTTAATAATAAGCTAATAGTGGAGATATAAGCAATAACTACATATATATATATATAGATTTCTCAACGTTGTTCGGATATGGTTATTTCTTGTCAATTTGGCAATAGTGTGTATGATTGTCAGAAATTATTTAATCCAGTTATAACTGATGATGGTCTCTGTTGTGTATTTAACACTGTACATCCGAAATTTCTTTATAAAATTAAGTAAGTAATGATACTGAAGTCTTATTTAGAAAATTACAATATGTCTAGTTCTAGAACTGAGAAATACAACACGAACATCGATGACACCACACCAGTAGAATGGAGCGCAGAGAAAGGTTATCATAGTAAATTACCTAAAGAATTTTATCCACGACGTACTGTTGGTGTTGGAGAAACCTTGGGTCTAAGCATAGCACTTTACGCTGATGCAGGAAATTATTATTGTTCAACTGGTAATGGTATCGGATTTAGAATTTCCATATACAATCCCTCAGATTTTCCAAATATGCGAGAAATTGGTTTACTACTTTCAGTAGGAACTGAGACAAGAATTCGTCTTAGTAATGAACGCACTGAATCTGCTTTAAATTTACGCAGCTTAGATACACAATATAGACGATGTGTATTTCAAGATGAGAGGGAATTGAATTTTTTCACCCATTACACACAACGTAATTGCAATATTGAATGCCTAACGAATATTATCCTCAAGAATTGTGGTTGTGTTGAGTATTTTTCTCCACGATTTTATGGGAATGAAACTATCTGCGGTATACGTGAGGAACAGTGCGTAAGACGAGTACGAGTGCTTGCTACGACAGCTGAAGACGGACGTTTCGATTGCGACGATATTTGCCTGCGTAGTTGTTTTGATTTGACCTATATGCCAGATTTCTTTTCAGCTATAATGTATGAACCACGCATATATGCCACTAATCCAAAAATGCAGAACTTGAGTGCGGATGAAGTGTTGGAAAACATTGCTATGGTTAACTTGTATTTTGCAGAGAATGTCTATAGAAGTACTAAGCAGAGTGAGTTTATAGGCACAACGGATTTTTTGTGTAAGTTTTTGTGTATATAAGAGTTAATATAGTGTTTAATAGAAAATAATATTTTTTAGCTAGTGTTGGTGGCATTATTTGTTTATTTTTCGGTTTTAGTTTTGTCTCAATTGCGGAGCTTATATTTTTTATTTTAATACGTTCATTAGTGCAAATACCAGATCAGTGGAAACATCAAGTCAACAACTTAAATAAGAAATCAGTTGTGAGTGGCAAAATCTCTACTTTGTCACATTTTGTTGAGAATGATCAACGTTGGGCGACAAAACAAAGAATTGCTGTTAAATAGCAAGGTTTCTATATAAACCAATAATATATAATATAATACATATTTATTTATGATTTATGATTTATGAAAATGAAAACAAAACAAGCCAAAAGCACCAGCTAGATGGTTTGAAACCCAGAAAGGCTTAAAGTACCCATTAAAACTAATTAAGAGAATTTAGTAACAAGAATTAATAAAGTTGATTTACTTCATCAGAATAAAACTTATAGTTGTTATTCCTCGAAAATTATACAGACGGTATCTGGTAATAGTATACGGAAACCTTCATACCAAAAGTAGATTTATTGAGAATACAGAAAAAAAGAAACTTTCTCAAATAAGATAGTCAGCTTACACTACTCCCAAAACAAATGGCGCCTTCAGGGTTTGAAGAAATTAGCCCAAATTAATTAATTAATTTTAAAAATATAAAAAAGAATTTGGAAAATATAGGTCTTCGACAATAATAAGAAGTTATTTAGTACACTTTATAAAAAAATCGGATTTAAAGAGTAAATGTTTTAAAAAGTGGATCTATCGTATTCAAAAGTTTATAGAAATTAATATATACCTATAGTCTAACTTTCATAATTCCATAAGAACTATTTAGCACAGTAAAGGTTCTTCTTATGGAGACTTCGAGTTAACGAAATTTTTTGTAATTGTATGTAATTTGCTCTCTAAACTCTGTTGCACTCTATTTAGTTTGAAAATTCGAATTATAGAAAATTCGAGTTATAGAAGTTCGAGTTATGATAGTTTGACTGTATTATATTTATTTATTGATTTATTTTGTGGTGCGGAGAGGAGATTTAAAAATACCTTACACATCATCACTATGTCGTCGCAATAATGGTATGCCTGATTTGCAAGGACTAAAAACAATCCCTTCATATACCAGACCGTTTCAACACTGGAACTTCATCGTGAATACATGAAGAATCATTTTCTGCCGTGATAATGAATAAAGTATTGAAAGTCTGAAAAATTATGAAAATGAAAGTTATAAAATTAAATTTATTTTTGTGACCAACTAACTAAAATATTGATACTCCACTCATTCTTGATAATAGCTTTAAAGAATTTTAAATAACAAAATTGTGTACTTTTTCAGCAGTTTTTTAAGTCAAAAACTAACATAAATGAAAGTAACTTGTAGGTTTTTCTTGGTTTGAAGGTACATACATCCAACCCATTGGCTTCGTGGTTTACTTGGGACCACTTGTTGGATTGTGCACTGATCCAACGTCCCACAATATATATATACCAATTATATATGTAACCAATTAGCTTCACTTAAACCAATTTTTTTTAATATTCTGAGCGTTTTGTAAATTATGAGAATTTGTTTTTAAGCTCTTAAACTAATTATATTCATTAATTAATTGATACTCGTGGTCATAATTCAGCGATTTGAAGTTGTTTACTTATAAAGTTGATTCATAAAATTAAGAAAAATTATGTCTAGAACAAATATAAAGATACTTTAAGATTTCTATTATTAATTTATGTATTTAGTATAAATTTCTTCAAATTGTTTTGAAATTTATGGTCTTATTTTATAAACAAGTGTTCTTTAAAAACTTTTCAGTTATTATTTTAAACAAAATATGTACAATATTTGTTTTCATTCAAAAACTACTAAAATAAATTTATTCACTTGAATTTATTTACAAAAAGAGGCTTACGTCGAAGTACTCGAAACTCTTATGTATCTGAAATTTCTACTTTCAATAGATTTTGGAGTGCAATACTTACAAATGACTATGTTGTTTATGTCTTTTGCAAGTTTGCAATTTTACTTAATGCTGAACTCCAATCAAAGGCCACATCATTTGCAACAGTTGTTACACTAGCAACATAACAACAACAACAGCAACAACTACAACAAATGCTTAACAAGCAAACAATGTATCTGAATTTTGTTGGAAAATGCCTCTAACAAGATTGCAACAAATATTTACACTTGCAAGTGATTAGAACGAACTCAAGAAAAAAGATAAATCAACAACAATTAGGAGCGACTACGAGCAGGACGTATGATGAATGATGAGCAGGACACTGCATAATATTTTACGACTCGTTGCAGAATACAGATACAAATATACATAACACAATACAATCGTTTGGGTATTTTTGTATCTAAGCACTTGTATCTAAGGCTGAAAATTAATTGTTTAAACAATTAAAAATTATGCACTTCAGAAATGAAAATATGTCTGACAGCGTTTGCGCCTACGAAATAGTAGAACGTCTCTGCATTTTTGAACACACGTACCATCACTATGATCCGGTAAGAAAAAATAGTTTTAAAAAACAATAAAAATAGGTCATTACATATTTATACTAATGAGAAGAGCAAACAAATTTCTAACGTACAATGGATATATGGCCATAGGTTTGCCATCGCTGATTTAAGATCACACAATATTACAAACAAATTAAAAATGCAACAGAACGTTAGTGGTTATTATCTACAAATGTTACAAATCTTTATTACGACTTTAATGGACCGAAAAAATGGACTTGAACTCCAGTTTTTGAATCTTTTCTAACTCTACCTCTTCAACAGTTCCGGACAACATACATATTTGTTATTCAATCAAATTTACTTATATTTTCTGAAAGAAAATTTCATTTAGCTTGTCTTGAACATCCTTATTAGGCAAGTCCCCAAAAGACACTTCTATAATAGTAATCAGGTTTGGATTATTGTATAGCACCACCTTAATGACACCTTTTACGGGATTTACACTTAATTGTATTCCAGTTACTGCATAATCAATAATCTCATCAGCTGTGTCATGTAAAATTATATCAAGGCCATTATCCTAAATTAGTATATATGTGTAAATCAAAAATATATTTACTTGCAATTATAAACGTAAGCGTTACTTACATTAAACATTTTCTGCATAATATCATAAGCTGAACTGACTGTCAAGCCATCCGGACAGGTGGTCAACATGTGGTTTATTGTATTGGGGAAGTCCATTTTCAATAAAAACTTTTATATAATTTTGATGTGAGAATTTTTTAGAACTGCAACTGTTACATATTATTATAGTTTATTATAGACATAATTCAAATTAAAATCAAAATTTTTGTATTAAAATATGAAATGTTTACTTAGTTTTTATTTGAGAAATGAAAGAGTTTATATAAAAACGATTAGAGAAAATAATTAGTAAAAGATATAAATAAATATACGTTAAAGTATTTTTTTGTTGGACTAAACATAAAGAACTTAAGTAGTTAACTTTGAGAAACCTCCCTCCAAGTTGCATTCGATGATGTCTCTCTTCTTATCATAGATATATTGACACCTTTCGCAATGCAGCTAACATACGTGAGATCGAATATAAACGTAGACTTATAGCCGTCCACACAGATGCAGTATCATCTTCGCGATGAAGGTTGACTCCCAACAAGGTACTCAACAGCTCCCGCCTAATATTTCTGCAGCAAAAACTGTCCTAGCCCAATTAAAATAAGGATATAGCCACGTGTTAAACAGTCACTTGTATAAACTTGTATAAACTTGTATAAACAAGTGTATTGCTACTATGTAACGAAATTCTTTAAAAGTTAAAAATTGGTCTAATTGAGCGAGAAGCTTAAAAGACCTTTCAGGTACCAGTGCCTGCACAGCCTATCCATAAAAACCACTCTTAATATGTGCTCAAACTGCAGCTTTACGCCCCATGACGTCGCTTATCTGTTCTCTTGCTCCTTTGTACACATAAACCACCGTTAAATCTATCTTTGCATCTCCTCTATTGAAGTGGCCAAGTTTCTCCGTCTGATCATTAATTATTTTTAATTTAAGCCCCTCTCAATTCCAACAACCACTTTTCCTCAATTCCCTCCTATCTGCAATCAATCATATGCTAACTCATGTTAAGTCTTTTATGTTATCCGCTTTACAATATTGACCTGGAGAGGACTTCAGTGTTATTAAAATCATAAATTGTGATTCTTAATTTTAGTTTTGTAAATAATGGTTAGTTTTTTTTGGGAGATGGAAAGTATTGACCTCGTGTCTAAAAACCGCGCTTGTAATTAAAGGTGCTGGAATTATAACTAATAGAAGTAGAGTAGGTATTGGTATTGGAGGACTTTTGCAGCAAAGCTGAGAATAGAGGAATATTGTTAATTTGATGAAAGTCAAAACTGAGGACATAGTAGAAAACCGATAAAAAAATTTTCACAGTTATGGATGCCAGATATCTAACAAGAATAAAGGGATACGGAGTATGGGGCTGTTATTGAGTCGATTTTATTCTCGTAGTATCTGATAATTTTAACATAAATTTATAATTATATATACTATTGTTTCTGCCATGTTTATATCATTTTTATAATAGAAATAATAGAATACGTAGAATAGAGAAAGAAATTAAAAACAAAAATATTACATTGCATATTTATAGGTGAAAATAAAATCTGCGTGAATACATAAACATAAGAGAAGGAGAAAAAAAATTTATCTGATGACTAATTAATATTTCTTATTAATGTAAATAAATTTTAGTTAACTTAATTAATCAAAATTTATTTCTTTATTTACACAAAGTGACTCTTATTATTTATTAACACTTTAAAGAAATGCATTTACTACACTTCATTCTTAAAGGCTTACGACAAATGAGATCTGCCATATACATTAAGTTTCATTCGTTTATTCTTCTTATTTTGCAATTCTTCTAAGTACAATATGATTCCTTTCAGCTATGTTGACAATGATAAAAGTGTTGATTATATACTGGAATGACCGTCTAATTTTTTAACACACAATGTAATACAAACAGACGTAACTCGCCAAAGGAAACATTCAGTAAAGTGACAAAACGGAAGTGCAACGTCAAGTATAATAGAGGGAGAAGAAGTGCAAAAATGAACGCCGATGACAATGATGACAACTGAAAGGACTATTTACTAAAATGACAGTCATAGCACAGACAAAGGAGTCAAAACGTCTCATAACTCCATTTCTCCAGACATTAAAGAATTTTTATGTCACACGAATGATTACTTCTATCTTTTTAAATGCTTTTGATATGCCGTCCAGTGTGGAAGTGTAAATATGATTTTACATTGTTGTTGCTACTTATAGTCCAGAAAATATCTTTGCTACATTGACAAAGATATTTATATGATAAATTGCTGATAACTGGAATATAAATGTCAACTGTAGGAGACAAGATAATCGTTAAAAATAGAGAAAATGATAGAACTCTAGTCGTGATGAAAAAAATTGTTGAACGTCTCTGTTGCAAACGAATAATAAATTTTATTATTTTAATCACATGATTAAATCATCAGGTCTATCAACTTTTTATCAGTAAATTTACAGATTAATTGCAATGTTTATCGGCTTCTATTTACTATAAAACTAAATAAAAATATATAAAAAAAATTAAAAAAAATTTATTACCTTTTATGTTGGTCTTAGTGTTTGAAGGTTTAAAATACCGTCAAGATTTAGAGAGAACATATTAACCTTGTTGAAGAATGGACATCTACTCTTTTTCTTGGACAAAAGCATTGCGATATGTCACCTCCAAATTATAATATTGATGAAAACTCATGTTCACACTGTAGAGAAAATCCCTACTTTTTAATCATTTTCTTTAAAGAAAGAGTAAAGGAATATATTACGAAAACAGATGCTTCAGATAGCAATAGACGTAGGTGAATCCTTAGGATCAACATTGGAATCTAACTTAATATTTGAGTTACTTTCAAAATTTGAAATGTAATTTTACGTTGAAATACCATTACAACCTATATTATAATCAACTAATGCTAAATAAAGCATTATTATTATTATTAAAGTTTAAAAGTTTAAAGTTTATTATTAAAAGTTTAAACGTGAAATCACACAACAGCTTGTACTGTGGTCAGAAGAGTCCTATTGTACCAATTTCAGTATTGATTACACAAAGCCCCTTAAAGCTTCCTAAGGAAAGTCCAGAACTAAATCTAGAGAGGAGTTCTTAGTCTGTTCTGGCGACAAAAATTCTATATTAAATAAGTTTCTTCTGTGCGTTATTAAAGCTGGACAGTCACAAAGAATATGCATAGTAGTTTCCTCATCTTCGAGGTATAATCTGCATTCCAAATTAGCAGATAATCGTAGCTTATGAAGGTGAAATTTTAGGCCATAATGACTTGTAATAAAACCCGTTAAGAACCTTAAATTCCACTTTAAGAATTTAAGGACGTCTTTGTAGAAGTACGGTGTTATCAGTGCTTTGCTTTGTCTAACTCCTGGGAAGTCTTCCCAGTACTTCAGCTGTATATGATGTTCCCTTTCCTTGATAGTTTGTTTTGTACTGGCCAAGTTTATTCCACAAAATGGTTGAGGGCCTATAAAAGTAGTATTTTATGCAGTTCTGGCTAGCTCATCAGCTTGTTCATTTCCCAAAATAAAGCATTATATCTCATAGCAAATATAAATTAATAGCAACTAAAATATTGCCAAAAAATAGCTAGATTTTAATTAAAAAAAATTGGTTTAAAACATTTTATTCAGACTTTATAATTATTCATTTTTTTAATAAAACACAAATAATTTCTTATTGATATAAAATAAAATTTCTCTTCAACAGTTACTTATAATAAAAACTATTAAATATATTAATTAAATGTTTCTGGGAATAATCAAAAGCTCTTTTTAATTTTATTTTTCTAGCAAAAATATTAAATAAATAAGTAAAATGAAAATTAATTACATACTGTAAAAATTTGTTATTTTTTTAATTATAAGTTAAGAGAAGGAGCAGCACAAAATATTTATTTTAATAAATATTAATAATACTAACAAAATTAAATGTATAATTGATAGAGAGACTTTCGTGACCAAAGCAATGTAATATTATTTTAAAAGGTTTTTAATTAAAATAATAACTTATTTAATTATTTTTGCTCCTACAAGTATGCAATTAAATATTTTAATAATTAAAATTGAAATTGGTTCAAATATTATCAATTTCATTCTACATAAATTATTATCAGTAGAAGAGAAGGAGAAAACCATATATGTACAATATCAAATATATTTTTAATAACAAGACTAAGTGATAATTATTTAATTTTTATTATTTGTTTTAATATATGATAAATTTATGTTTAAAGGATTTAAAATACACTTAATTAAAAAGCATAGAATAATATCAAATTTTTTGAAATATAATAAAAATCAGTGAAAAATAAAATTAATTCAAATTTCACAAATTTAAAGAATACACTGAAAAAAAATTATGTTTTTTTAGTTCCGCAAAACTTTTATATTCCTGTGGCAAAGAAAACATAAGGGATAATCATTTTGAAAGTGTGAGAAAAACTTTTCCGCCATAGGTGATATTATACTTTTTTTTTTTTGCTTGAAACCCACACTAAAGTTTTATTTGGCATAACATTCCACAAAAGACTATAAATCAGTGCAAGTGATTTATCAATAGAACATATCCTTTATTGACTAGTCTGATATGCGAAATCGAAAGGAAAGTAAAATTGGATGTTTGAAGAAAATATTTACTTCCTATATTCATACTTTTTGTTATGAGTCATGTATTTTATATAGTTATTATATTTATATGTGGTTTATATGAAAAAAAATGTTTGCGAAAGATATATAATAGCAAAGTTATATTTTATTTTGGCGACATGTTTGTCAGTCCTATTTAATACTATTAAACTAAGAGTATAAAACATGATATAATTCATATATTTCTTAAGCTATAATAATTGTTATAGAGGATTATCATATTCAAATGTATTTTTACTATACCGTTTCAAGCTCTAATATATGACTGTCATTTTTTGCTTGATTTAGATGTCTAAATATATGTTTATGTACCCTTTCCAGCTAATAGTTATACATAGAAATACGTAAGATATACAACTTTTGTATAACTGAATAAGTATATTTATTGTATATTTATTAATAAAGTTATTTTCCATGGAGTTTAATAACAATTGGGTTTTTAACAAAAGAATGAATTTTTAATTATCTAGAACAGTGCAGAGTGAATTGTAGGATTTATAGGCTTGACTGCCACAGTTGCCT